TTGTCGTAAAGCACCTAAATGGTTTTTCTCATATTTTTAAAATCAACTTAATTTCAGTCTATTGTAAATCGTAATTAGTTTTTTTTTTCTTTTTTGATACGTTAACTTGTATCATCCGATTGAGTGAACATTTTGTTATCACGATTTTAATACAACCCAAAAGGAGAGCGATCAAGAAACGGAACATAGTGTACCCAACGAAAGAGACAGCCAACATCATAAAGTCTTCCATCTCATTTTAAATGATTTACTCATTCATTTGAATTATTATATATGATTTGTCATCATATGATATGGATCACTCTGGATAATAGTTGTCTAATCAATCACTTTAAAGTGAAAAGATTTCATTTTACATGTTTTTGGTGTTGATTTAACTATTTGTCCTTGTAAGGTTTGCTGGTCCTATTCTTTAAACTTACTTGATTTATTAACAGTGAGTTTTAATATTTTATAAAAAGAAATTTGGTAGCTATATATGATTTTGGCAAAAAAGTAAAAAAAAAAATACATGATAATTGATTGAAATTATTTGTTTCTATAATTATAAAGCTAAACCGACAAATTTTTCATATTAGTGCAGAAAATGCAAACAAAATGTGGCTAGTTTTGGAAATATATTTCTATGATTAGAAATCAACGTGTACATGCATTTAGACCTGTTGAAGGAATGTATAGATAAACCACGAGAGACCATTTAGATCTACTGAACCTAAAGTAGTGATGAGAGTATTTCTACTATTTTGTTGGGGAAAGAATTTGACCTATTTCTACTGTTTAGCAAGCAAAACTCGTAGCAATCAATCTAATTGCCTCTTTAACAATCTTTTTGAAGGCTTTCCTAGCAACCCCATGCAAAGATTGATCAGAGATTGTCTTTAAGCGACAATAACAATCTTTCTCCATTCTTGAGAAGAGAGAAGCTACGATGATAAACAAGTATTCATGTCAAACTTCAAAACCATTAATGAAAATATGTCAAACTCACCAAGATACAAAGTGAAAACTTACCACTAAAACCAAATTAGAATTGTACTAATTGGTTCAATTTCCTCTTTTTGGTTTGGAATATTTGGTACATTGCAAATCGAGCCTATGCCCTGTTCGATTCAGATTAAATAAAGTAAACCGGTTACCTCACTTTCAATTATGTTTGAAGAAATCGGTTTAATATCAAGTACATGTAATCCATAAGCAAAACTAAGCAGAGACGGCTTAAATCATTAAGTACACTTCTTCTAGTCCATAATACAGTAGTTTTGGCAGTATTTTTGTTTTCCCAAAACTCCAATCATCTGTTTCTTTATTGGGCTTTAAACTGGCCCATATCGGTCCATATTACTTTTTGATTGGCCCAAATTAGTCACTGGCTTTCTCTTCAAGCTCGCCCAAAGAAGAAGACAGATTCTTGGAATTTGATCTTTTGAGAAACTTGCAATCCGATTCTGTGACCAGTGTTTTGCCTTCGATTCGGTTTTCATAAATGGAGTTTGTTGCTGAAGAAGGAAAGCTAGTGAATGAAGATTGCTCGACTTTAGTTCTCGTAAGTTGTGTTTCGTTTCCTTTGCTTTTCTTCGATTTCGATCGGTTCTCTGCTTCTGGGTATTCGTTCCCTTTCGATATTTCCGTCTATAAAGCTTAAAAACTGTAGCTTTCTTGAGAAATTAGGTTATACTTGACGAGAAAATAAAAGTTAGAAAGTGCCAAACTTTTCTTGGGAACTTTGAAATTCCAAGAAACAGACATGAAACTTGTAGGAAAAAGGTTTAGGGTCTAGAAGCATTGATTTTTCTCATAAATAGAGATTTATGATTGATGAAGTTTTGATTTTGTTTTCCCCAACCAGCCTGCATTGTCAATTGGGAATGTGGGGCAGCTAGCTGTTGATCTTCTAGTGTCATCTACCGGTACAGAGAGAGTTGGTTATCTCGATGATCCATATCTGCTTCCTTGTGTTGGAAATGACGCTTATGGCCCTCTTCCTTGTGGCGATATCGCCCTTCCTCTTGAGGGTTCGTTTTCTATCTGCTTCGTTTAAGATTAATTAGGCTTTGATGTATTGAGGAGAGGTGCTTTACTTTCTTAGATGAAGGATCCTCTGGTTTATATGATTATGTTGCTATATAGGGCAATAAAACATTATATGCTATAAACTATAAAATAGTTTCGATGCCTAGATCTATGCCACTTTATATTGTTGAATCAACCCTTTATCCTTGTGAAACCTCATTCTTTTCTGCGCTTTGGTTTTGTGTTTTCAGTTTATGAGTCATCTTCAATTGCTACTACTCTTGCTCAGCAACGGTCTCCAGTTGCAAAGGTATATACATTGTTGGCAGCTTTGTCCCTTGTTATTTCGATTCCTGTTTTTTGAAGGATTGCATTCAATGCTTGTTGTGTTGAGACTTGAGACTATGAAATGCCAATTAGCTGGAGCTTTTCAGTTAAAAAAAAGGGAATTTTATTGAGTTTTTTTTTTAACTTACAATGTTGATTAAAACAGGGAATGATGATTAAATTTGCGGAGAATATAGCCGATTTTGCTGCTTCAAGTGGAAAGAAGCACGTTATTGTGTTATCGAGTTTAGACTTTCAAAGGCTGCATAACTTGGATATGTCGAGGTAACTATAACGCCTCCTTTTATGTGTTTGCTATAAAAAGTTTCATATGCCTTCGGTGTAGAACTAAATATAGACTGGTGCAAACAGCATCAGAGATCTGTAATCACAGATTTGATTGATAAATGAGCTTCACTTGCACCTTAATCTTTACACATTCTTAATTTCTTACTAAAAGCAAACTCTTCACAAGTTCATTTCTGTTTTCCTCGGCAATTACTTTAGAGGCCCACAGGTGTATTATCTGTCTAACGCCGAATCTGATGGAAGAGATGATCACTGTGAAAGGCTTGGATTTGGAAGATTGCGCGAGTATGATTCAGAAGGAAGATGTTGGAAGTACCTTAGCTCTGTCTTTGAGAAGAACAGTGAAGAAGAGCTGACTTTCCCTTCAGAAGATGAACTTGAAGACATAGACTACTATCCAAGCTTGCCATTTGCAGCTCTGTTCTCAGCTTATAAGGTAAATAAATGCCTTATAATGAACAATTTAGCCACACGACGACTCATTTTAGATGATTGAAAGACTTATGTGGCCTGTGTGGGGTTTATGTTGTTTTGGGGTTAGGCAAGAGGCTTGAAGGTGACATGCCTGCTATGTTACTGTTCTGAAGGAGACAACATTCCTGAAGCATTTCTTCTAGCCGAGGCTGCATCTAAGCTTACGGGTCTGACTCCTGATAAGTTCCACGGTATAAAGTTCTCTTCTTCCGAGGGTAATAACACCCGGGCAATCAATCATGAGAGGCGATGAAACTTACTATGAATATTCTTTTGTGCAGGGGAAGAAGGTGGGAAATGGCGGATACCGTATTCGTGGAAGAGTATGTATGGAGCTCCTCCAGATATGTCCATGTTTTAAGACTGTTGTTGGAGCTCACAGAGTCAGACACCGAGGTTGTTGTAGTAGTAAAATTATGATCCAATGAGAAGTTTATGAACATTTGAGATGGTTTAATTTGATAGAGACCCCTCTTTTTTTCTCAGTTTTTCATCATCAAATCTGCTACTGTATAACAAAACATAACAAGTATAATTTCATTATTAGAGTAAAATGTCTCTAGGGAGACAGAATAATAAAATAGGAGAGTTTTAATCACGTTCTGAAATTATGTTTTAATCAGGACGTGAATCTTTTTCTGATTAATGGGTAGTACAATATGAAATTTGGTATAAGCTCTGGATCATAAATGTTGGGTGTTTTTTAGTGGCCCTTGGGACAACAAGATTATAAACAACGAGGATAAGACGTTAAATCAGGATCCGTGTACTGAATCTTAAACCGAACATCACTTAAACAGTTAACCTCAAGTCTCAGACCGGAAAGCATAATGTATTTGATGTGACCGGTTATGCGTTTTTCTGTGGATGCAAACAAATAGTAAAATTTGCATGAACAATAATGTAAGAAATATCTCCGGGACTAACACAAAGAAAGTAGTTGAGCAATAAATTATGGAGTCATTGTGTTTTATTGTATAGATAGGCCAAGGCAAGTACTTCTGACCGGTTTTAATTTGCACCTTTATTGCCACCAGAATTATATATATGTAATTTCTGACCAAGAAAAATACATGCAAGTAGTTTTTGGTTCTTGGGGGACCTAACTTATGTACATGTAATTTGGTTAGTGGAATACTTCTTTTCTCACATATTTTGAAGACTAGTACAAAGTATATATGTTTAAAAATTCACAGTCTTTGACTTGACTATCATAATCTTGATTCTTGAACTCTATCATATTAGTAAACCTGAACATTCACATATGATGTCATTTTCATTAATATCCGTGGAATTTCTTTTCCACCGAATAAGCATGTAATTGGTCATAATCATAGATTCTTAGGGATAATAAACTTAGATAATGTAAAAAAAAACATTAATAATATAATAAATTTATAATTCACTAGTAGTAGAAATTTAAAGTGAAATGAAGTTGAAATTTGTTAAAAGTAAGTTGAAATTTCTATCTATTTCATTATATCACCAAAAAAGGAAAAATCCTAGTTCAGTGGATGAGCACCCCAGTATGAACAAATGGAGATAAAGACTGAAAAAATAGAGAAAGAAGAATTTTCAAAAAGGCTTTGATCCAACCATCAGCCAAAAAAAAGTCGCAAAAATCCACTTAATAAAGTTCCACAAACCATTAGTATCAGAGTGGGTCACCACATCAAATCCACATTAAAATCAAACAACCCTAAAAGAGCACTATCTTCTTCTTTTTCTATCCCCTCATTCCATTTTGCTAGATTGCTAATCTCTTCTTCCTAATCCTAGCTATATTATGATCTCACTGTTAGTTTTTTTATATAATTATATCCCCTAACTACTCAATTTGTACCTACATAATGTACCCAAATCTGCAGTTATTTGATTAATTATGAATCAATTTGGATCGTCGTATTTGTTTACATTAACAAAAAAAAAAACACTGACGTGTTGTTAATTTTATTTTTCCCAATACCGTTTACCTTTAGTCAACGTTTTTTTTTTTCCACCAAAGTCCCCAAATACACATTTACGTTTAAAGTTTAAACCTTTCACTGGAACCTCTGTTTCAGACTCTTTTCTTTGTTATACTTTTTTTGGTTTTGTTTTTTTTTATAACCAAACTACCATGCGATTTGTCGCGCCACCACCTCGTTCCGGCGATATCTCACCGTCTCCTTCACCATCTTCCGGTTTAACAGAAGAGATTCTCTCCCGTTCATCAGATCCTCCTTTGGAGTTTAGTCCTCCATTGATCGCCATGGTGGTGATTCTAGCCGCCGCTTTTCTATTCGTAACTTACTCTCGTCTCATCTCCCGCCGTTTTCTTTCACCTCTATTCCGTCGTTTTAGACGGTGGCGATGCCGACGGCGCCGTCTACTTCACCTATCTTCAGCTTCCTCTGCTTCAACTTCATCCTCTGATCTCCGATCGTTTTCCCCTTTCCCTTTCGACTCTTTTCATTACTCTTCTTACTCTCCTTACGGATTAGATGATTCCGTTATCAAAACGCTACCGCTATTTCTCTACTCCGCCGCCGCTTGCACCGGGAAAACCGCTGTTGGGAAAACCTCCGCCGCAAATTGCAGAGATTGCGCTGTTTGTTTGTTGGAATTCGAAGAAGGTGATTATGTACGAACACTTCCGTTATGCTTCCATGCTTTTCACCTTGAATGCATCGATGAATGGCTCCGATCTCACCCTAACTGTCCGTTATGCCGTACGGCGATTCTCGGATCCGCCGCTGCCGGAGTTATAACGCCTATGTCTCCGTTCGTTCCGTTAATGGCTCCTCGAATTCGTCCGAGCCTCGATGATGATGCTGAGACTAACGCGATCATCATCCGCGGCGAAATCACACCGTCGCGGAGCAGTTGGAACACAGTCGCTGCTGCGGCGGTGACGACGAACGATCAGGAGATCACAGCGTCGGTGGAAGAGCAATCATCACCGGCGATTTCTCGGTTCCGGGAGCTGAAGAGATCGTACTCGTTCGAATGCGAGAGAGAATCTGAATCAGAGAGAGTAACGATGGAGCCAGCAACGGCGTCTCCATGGAGATACCGGAGATCTACATGGAACAAACGTCAATCACCGTTCGGAAACCTAATTTCGAAATCAAGAGTATTCTCGTTCCGTTACTACAGAAGCACGAAATCACCGTTCTTCCGGCGGAGATCATCGGCGGGAGTGTTTTACCCGATATCGGAACGGATCCCAGCGACGGGAAGCTCATCGCGGCGGACGAAATCAATGACGAGTCCGATGTTCTTCAGAACAGCACCGCACTCATCGAGCCGGTTAAGATGCGGAGATCCAGAGGCACTGTTATCACCGGAGAGATGGAGAAGAAGGGACACGTGTAGGGTAGAGATGTAAGACGAAATTTGGACGGTGGTGATGATAAAAAAATTGAAGTGGAAGGAGAGAGCATTAATGGAATGTGGGGTTTAAGCATTTAATGGAATTAAAATGAACGAAACAGAGAAGATAGAGAGATTCAGAAATTGCTCAGCTGCTCGCAACAAGGTTCGTTTTTAATTTTATTTTCTAAGTATAAATAAATAATAGCCATACCTTTATTTCTTCACCTCTCTTATTTAATGCTGCTAAAATACGGATTTCATTTATGAATGATATAATATAACCTATAGTCATAGAGAAATAAATAATTTATTACTATGTACGTTGAATTTTCCTGACTACTATACACACTTTGTTTTATTACTATCTCAGACCAGAGACGCCAAGACGATGAAGGTTTTGGAGCCTGTACGGTGGCGTTTTGGGTGTTTCGTTTGTCGTTTCTTTTCTATTGGAGTTATCAAAATGCATTTAACTTCCAAAGCTGCCAAAGTTATTATAGAAACGAAAGTCAACAAACCCATTAAATTTCGTTTCTATAATAACTTTATGTCGCTGAACTTTCTAATTAGCTGTCGATTAAATTTTTGACCCGCCAAAATAATTGATGATTTTAACATTTTGATGAATGACGTTAACCACTGAGAAGATCTGGATCTATTGCGAGTATATCCGGTTTAGTAAGAAAAACAGAACAAGGTTTAGGAGATGGCTGAACGTTGAGCCGTTGAGGTCATTATAATCTTGCTGGTGCTTGATCTGAAGCTCATGTTACCTTACTCTTATATAACAATCTGGCCGTGGACGTAGCGGGTTGTCCAATCTGGTCAATTGAGGGGATCTCCGGCGACAAAAAATTATCAGTGCGAAAATCTGCTCTCCCAACTTTTTTGGTTTGTTGTGCCAAATCGAAAACCCGACTCAAGACCGATACATGATGATCATTTATGTCTTTTATAGGGTTTGTCCTCTGTACAAAGAATCGCACAACCAAATCTACTAAAACTACCCATTCTATTGGACTGTTTAGTGCTGCTATGTTACTGTTGGGTTTTCTACACAAACAGGTCATACCGAAATGGACTGGATATCTCGGCCATGTTTACCCCAAATCTCAGCGATATCTCCTGATCCTAGCCTGGCACGTTACAAGCAAAGTTGTGGTCTCAAGTAGTTTGGGGATTGTTTTGGTCTAATATTTGCTATTTGTACGATATAGACGGCACCAATTGGTATATTTGCAACATTCCATGCTTGGCTTAGTGGTAGAACTGGTAAGGTGAATTGGGTGATGATTTCTACTTCTAGTTATTGTAACTTGGGTGAAATAAACAAAACTCAGAGAAGAGACAAGGAGAAAGCTTTGTATATGTTTTCTGAATCACTTTTGTCATTGAATTAGAAAAGCTTGAAACTGAAAGAACATGACAAAGATAAATTAAGGGAAACAAACGCACACAAAGAAAAGAGATTACATGTAGACAGTGTTTAGTTACCTCTTTTCCTGTTGCCTCCAGCTTGCTCGATTTGAACCAAACTTGGAACATAATTAAAAATAACTGCCCGACATCCATCCATTTCATCTACTCCAAATCCCACTTCTGTGACTACGTTATCCTCCCCAACAATGTAGACCATGTCTTTGACCTTGTTCTCATCAATCAATTTCTCACAGCACATGACGACTTTCTTCTCCTCGCCTAGCAAGAAACTTGCATCATTCCAAATCTGAAGATGAGGGCTCAAATCCAATGCTAAGACCTTGCTCCAAGACATCACTTTGGTGGTCTCATCAATCTTATCAGTCACCCATATCTCAGTCTTGGAACTTTTATCTCGCTGCAATAACACAGAAAGTTTATCTTCTCTAACAACAGAAAGACTAGTAGCTTCGAAACGACGACTCTGATAGGGAAGAGGCACAGGTACAGATTTATCTGTTGAAAAATCAAATTTGAGCAACGATATGATGCGGGGCGTTTCTGTTATACCTCTAGCCAACCAGTAAGTATTTCCCTTCAAAGACACGCTAAGTTCAGAGAATCCAATGCTCCCGCCTGGAGCGATGATATCATCAAGAATCCTCCATGAATCAGAGTCAAAATCATAGATTTCAAAATATTTGGTACCACGATAATAGCTCAACATTTTGTAGCTCTTGATCCAGGATTTGTTGTCATCTTGGGAGTACCCGAGATCAAAGCTGCGACCTTCTTTGCGAAAATTGCCGGTTCTGATCCACCTGGTTTCACCAGTTAAAGGATTCCAAACCAAGACTCTAGATTCGTCGACATGGGAGGAGCATAACAACAAGCCGTCACAGTGAAGGACTCGAGATATTTCGAATTGAGCTACTGAATTCTTAGAATGAGGATCGATTAGCTCACTTTTAAGCTCTAGAGATGGACTATTTCCATGGAGATTGACGCTAATTGGAAAAATCCTGTAGTCATTCCTCAACGATAGAGGTATCAACTGTTTTGCGGATTTATCAAAATGCTTACTTGCGAATCTCCGATCATTTTTGAATAAACGGTTCCATGCTTTGCAAGTAGATCGTAATCGTCTCAGAGATGTTGCCGGAACACGACAGAGTATCTCCTCTACCAAATCCTCTGGAAGCTGCTCCGGCGTCTTCATTGATCTCTGAATTTACCAAATCTCTAGGGCTTCCTCTTTCCCCAATTTAGTTCAGCAGTAAAATGTTGAATAGTGAGTGACATGGACCTGATAAGTATCTAACAAGGCCCACCTTAAAGCCCATATATTTGCACAGAATCCTTAGGCTACCAATTTCCCCTATTTCGTTCCCATGAGATCATATTGAGCATTGGTTTTCTTGTATATATGATAATTGTCTGAAGCTAGTTAGTAGAACTGTGAAGGTTTTCCTCTGGTGCTAAAAAGACTCGAAGCATGTATAACCCTGATTTTTGTGTTACTAACTTGTCTTTCTGTTGTGATCTTAGTGTTGCTAACTTGCTAAGCTTTGTTATTCCTCTCTTTGTGCAGTCGTGAAGCAAGAGAGATCGATGCAGCGGTTTCTTGATGTCCATTTACACAATCTTGTTTAGCCAAACTGAGACATAGCCAAACTGAGACATGGTAATAAAGAATATAATTTGTGTTAACATGGAATCAAAGGTTTCAATTGGCCATTCTATTGGACTGTTTAGTGCTATGTTTCTGCTGTATTTTTTTTGTACACAAGCAGGTCCTAGATAATGGACTGGATACCTCGGCCATGTTTACCCAAATGTCAGCGTATCTCTTGATCCTTGTCTGGCACGTTACAATATACAAAACATGCAAAGTTGTGGTTTCAAGTAATTTGGATTTTGGGGATTGTTTTTTGGTCCAATATTTGCAACCTTAAGCAGTGTATTTGTAAGATATAAACAACATACTATGCTTGGCTTAGTGGTACAACTTGTAAGGTGAAATGGGAGATGATTTCTAGTTGTATAACTTGTAACATGTTTTCTGAATCACTTTTAATTTGTCCATTGAATTAGAAAAGTTTGAAACTGAGAGAACATGACCAAGATAAACTAAGAGAAACACACACACACACACAAAGAAAAGAAAAGAACAAGGTTTTTAGTTACCTCTTTTCCTTTTGCCTCCAGCTCGCTCGATTTGAACCAAACTTGGAACATAGTATATTTGTCAGATACCATGCTTGGCTTAGTGGCAGAACTTTAAAAGTGAATGGGTGATTATTTATAGTTGTAAAACTCGTAACTTGGGTGAAAAGAAAACTCAGAGAAAATACCAGTACAAAAGCTTTGCACATGTTTAATGAATCACTTTTGTTAAGGACTTCCTTAAGCTTGAAATTTTGAAACATAATTCTCATATCTTCTTTAGAAATCTGCTCTATAAGACATGATTTGATCGTAATGTTTTTTAAAAAACTGTCTTTAAAGCAAGGAACACGGGGCAGTTGAAACATCTGACAATACAACATGTCAACATCTTAATGACATATCAGTTCAAAGGATTATTCAAAGAGCACGAGCAAGATGAATTAAGAAAACACACACACACACACACAAAAGAGAGATTACATGTAATAGAGCTTGTTTAGCCACCTCTTTTCCTTTTGCCTCCAGCTCGCTGGATTTGAACCAAACTTGGAACATAATTAAGAATAACTGGCCAACATCCTTCCATTTCATCTACTCCACATTCCACTTGAGTGACTACATTATCCTCCCCAACAATGTAGACCATGTCTTTGGCCTTGTCCAAGTATATGTTGTTGTTGTCGCCGCCGCCAATCAATCTCTCACATCTATCACAAGAAATGACGACTTTCTTGTCCTCCTCTAGCAAGAAACTTGCATCATACCAAATCTGAGGATCAGGGCTCAAATCCAATGCTAAGACCTTGGTCCAAGAAACTGCTCCTTCGGTGGTGGTGTCATCAATCTTATTTGTCACCCATATCTCAGTCTTAGAACTTTCATCTCGCTGTAATAACACAGAAAGTTTCTCTTCTCTAACAACGGAAAGGCTACTAGCTTCAAAACGACGACTCTGATAGGGAAGAGGCACATGTACAGATTTCTCTGTTGAAAAATCAAATTTGAGCAACGATATGGTGCGGGGCGTTTCGTTTACATCTCTAGCCAACCAGTAAGTATTTTTCCCTTCAAAGACACGCTGAGTTCAGAGTATCCAAAGCTCACGTCTCCGATCATATCATCAAGAATCCTCCATGAATCAGAGTTAAAATCGTAGATTTCAACATTTTGTAGCTCTTATTGCAGGAAGATTTGTGGTAGTATCCGAGATCATATATAGCTGCGGCCTTCTTTTTCTTTGTGAAAATCGCTGGTTCTGATCCACCTTGTTTCACCAGTTAAAGGGTTCCAAACCAAGACTCTAGATGCGTCGATTTGGGAGGAGCATAACAACAAGCCGTCGCAGTGAAAGACTCGAGTTATTTCAAATCGAACTGATGAATTCTTAGAATCAGGCTCTATTAGCTCACTTCTAAACTCTAGAGATGGACTATTTCCGTGGAGATTGACGCTAATCGGAAAAATCCGGTAGTCAGTCCTCAACAATAGTGGTAGAAACTGTTTTGCGGATTTATCAAAATGCTTACTTGCGAATCTCCGATCATCTTAAAATAAACAGTTCCATGCTTTGCAAGTAGATCGTAATCGTTTCAGAGACGTCGCCGGAACGCGACAGAGTATCTCCTCTAGCAAATCTTTTGGAAGAAGTTCCGATATCGTCATTTCCATTTCTGAATACAACAGCAAATCTAGGGTTTCCTCTTCCCCAATTTAGTAAATATCTCGAAGAGTGAGTCTCACATGGACCTGATAGTAATCTAACAAGGCCCAATTTAAAGCCCAGTTAATACCCAAAATATTTTTAGTAAGAAAAACAGAACAAGGTTTAAGTGTTTTGAAGAAGACAATGTTTCCGGGAATGTATAACCCGGTTAAGATCACCCACCTGCTTCTTCTTCCTCTGACACTGTGAGCCCTTGTCTTTGATTCTGTTCTGTCACAGTTCTTGGGTTCAATGATAAATAGATCTGGTGTTATCACTTACATAGTTTGAGTTCTACACTTAAATATGATCTCATAACTAGAAAATTTGACAGTTCTTATATTCATCGCTCACATCAGATGAAAAAAAAGGGGAAAAGAAACCACGGTTCATAACTCTTATTTTCTTCTCAGAGAAGCAAGCCGAATCTGAAATCATGTGCGACCCAATCGATGGTGAATCTTCCATGCTTCTTGTTCCGACACTGCTGGATTCTATCTCTTGCTTCACAAGGCAAAAATTTCCCAATCATGTCGAGAATACCGACGTTGCAAAGTTGAGTATCCTTGGCATATAATTCAACAAGCTTCGGCAAAAGAATCTTGTTGTCTTTGGAAATTCCTAGGTTTGATTTTACATACTCTTCTCTACCACATTCTAGCTCCATCATCACGTTCTTGGGTGTATATATACGAACCTAAAAGAATTGTTTTGCTTTAAAACTTAATCTTCATCATATGAATAGCGTGTAAGATAAGAAACGATGTTGAGCCAGGGGATTTAATTTGCTTACTGATGGATCTGACAAGTTCCCCGAGCAAAGAGCGAAATGAAGAAGAGGCTCAGAGTGAGTTATAGAATAATCTCTTCCTAAATCTCCAGCTTTACCTTTTGATCTAGAAGCAAACAAGAACCTAAATACCTGCAAATACACAATCCTTATTAGCCCTCATCAAGTCAAAGTCGAATTTTCAGAATCGAAATCAATCATAGACTTGCCTGTCCTGGACGAGAGACACGGCAACCAAGGATTGAAGTCTGAATGGTATCTAAGTTCAAGCTTCGACCTCCAACGTTGTACGCTGCCTATAATACACAATAGAAAAACCCTAGTCATTGTTAATTTACCAATGACTTGTATCCCAAGTTTTTCTGCAAAGTAAGATCACCCTACCTTCAGCAACCCAGATACTCTTTTCATACTGTTTTTAGGGTTCCCATAGACAATTATCGACTGAAAAGAGACGAAAACAAACCCAAAATAGCTAATTAATGTCGAGAGAGATTTATCAGCAAGATCTTGTTAAAAGAAGTTTAGTTTGAGAAATTAACGCTACATGCATAACCAGAGAGTTGTGTATGTTAATCCAGAAAGCTAGCTTTTCTTCATGATTTAACTTCCTTGGATTCACTCCTTCTAACTTATTAACAAGCGACCTAAACATTTTGGATTGAGAAGAAGGAGAAAATTGATTAAATAACAGAGTTGATATATATAAACCAAAAAAAGTTATTATTGTAAGAGCCTGAGATTGAAAAACCTGAAATGTTTCAAAGCAGGTTCAACTGCATTTAACTTCCCTGGGTCTCTACATATCGATTTCACCATTAATAATTTGTCGTAAGGTCGACAAATGACCTTCAGTCGCTCTTTCCCGCGGAAAGGACTGCTTGTTTCTCGATCATCATCGAGTGATTCTGGATCAGCAAGTTGACGAAATACTTGTAAGATGCACTTGATCATCTCTTCAGACAAACTATTTGGTGAATTATGAACGTTTTCAGAAACATATGTCCCGATCATTTCATCGATATCGGATTGCTGAAAAAGCGAAAACGTAAACCACCATTGGTAAAGAAAGAAACTCAAAAAACATTCACTGTTTAACACAATTTCTTTAACCTCAAGCATTGAGAAAGGAAGAGATCGATGATATGACGAGTCCATTGCTTGGGGAGACATTCTAAAGGAATAGCCTGAACAATGAGACAAGGATGAGTGACTGCGGAAGATTCCAGAGTCTTCTACAACTTTCTGCGAACTGCAGACTGTGTTTTTGGGTGAATCAGTGACTTTAGTGCTCCCAAGAATAGCTTCTGATATCTCTTTCCCCTCTGATTTTAATTCAGATGTAATTTTGTTGTTGAAGAATCTTCGATATAACAAAAGAAGATATGTTTCTAAGTACATCACTTGCAGCTCCAAACCCGCGATTTCCCTCACCAGTTTCTTTGCCTCCTAAATCAAGAAATCATGAAAACATCCTCAGACAAGATATTCAAAGGGGACTTACTTGTGTTAAAAGGTAACCAAAGCTTATTGAGGCTTTTTTAACCTTGGGGATAGAAGAATCTTCATTTTTAGAATCTTCCAAGAACAGTTTGCGTCGAATGACTGTCTCCATTTCTCGCCGTACTAAGACTTCATCTTCTTGAAGCAACAAATCAATCTGCAGAGTAAACAGTAAAAGATTTGAGATCTGTTTTGATTTTTCTCAAAGAACCCACAAAAAGTCTTCTGAGAAAACTTCATAAACCTCATCACTTGAGACTCTCTTGGGATGTAATTTTCTGGACTTTAGAAGAGATTTTAGCTGTTCTATCTCTCTCTGCAAACGTTCATCCTAAAGAACAATATTAAGAACTTAAGTTCATTTGATGAACAAAGAGATCCAGAAAAAGATTAAACACTTTTGAAGATTCCTAACCATGTGAAATCGATCGATGTTGTAAAGGGTTTCACTTGATTTCTTGTTCTTGAGAGATTTTCTGGGGACGGGGTCGCTGGAAAAAAACAGAAACTAGGTAAGACAAGACTAGTAAATGAAATGTAAACTAATCAAGAGGAAGAAGAGACAGAACCTTCTAGAACGTTTATGTTTCGATGTTCTTGTCGTCATGAGTGTCTTAAGAGTCTTCTACTTGTATGAAAAACTTGAAATCCCCCGCCTAATTAATTTTGAAGAGTTTTGTGATTTGAAAAAACTCAGAAGTAAAAACGACCCAACAGCTGAAAATCACTGAAAACAGAGCATTAAATGAGAGATATAAAACAATATAGATAGTGACAAAAGAAAAGTTACTGAAGAAGAAGAACAAAGGAAAGGTTAAAGAACAGAAGCAATTGCAGTGAATAGCATTATACCACGAATGGAATGAGACTACTCACTATAATTAAATAAGAATCATACAAAGTGTACAATCTTTTTTTAAAGAAAATTTGATTAAAAAATGTAAAATACTAGATTTTAACCCGCGGTGTACCGCGGGTCGACTTTTTAACTAAAAAGTTGTAAATTTTAAGTTGTAATTATTTTGTTAATATTATTTGTTTTGTTTAGTGTTTAAGATTATATATTGAATTTTGATTATTATTTTTAGGATTTTAACCCGTGGTATATCTTCCGGTATTATTATCGATCTAAATCCGTCCCACCATATAACCCCGTCCCATGAAATTAAACATCATTTTTTTTTAATAACACATTTGTGTTACCATGCACATTGATTTGATGACTAAATAACCTCCTTATATATAGAGAATAAGTAGTCCATTGATTTAGGTCTTGTTATGATACAATATTAACAAAAGAAAAAGATTTGATGAGTAATTGTTATCTTTAAGTTATATATTTACGTAATTATTTTCCTAAAAAGTCTACAACAGTTATTAGGTTCTGTAATTGTTTTAGGAAATTATTTATTTTGCAATACATTTGTCGTTAGAAAGTTTTTAAAATAAAAGGAAATTATTGTTTTTATTTATTATTGCAATTAATGATGGATCTTTAATTATGAGAAATCATACCAAATATATTTGAAGATTACAGTAAATCACGGAATAGTTATTATCGAGATTTTTAAAGTAATTAGTTGGAAGAGATTTGAGGAACGATCTTTAGAATAATATCTTTAATTAATTTTTTCAAATCTTAAGAATTAACTCCAATGGCATTGTTTGTAAATACATTCCAACTCCAGGATTTATTTGCTAAAAGTCATCCAAAAATGTATATATAGACTAGATTTTAACTCGCGGTACACCGCGGGGCTATATTTTCTTAAAAAAATCAAAATGTAATTTGTTTGATAGATTATTTTGATTGTTAATTTTAGGATTTCACCCGTGGTATACTATCTTTTATAAATATCAACCCAAACCCGTCCCATCATATTACCCGTCCCATCATATTACCCGTCCCGTGAAATTAAACATCATTTAGTTATTTTTCTTTTTAATAATACTTTTATTTAAAAGCTATATAATTCAAGTCAATTTAAAAATTTCTTTTAAATGGTTCCCATAAGATATATATACTTATATATTAAATTTGTATAGAGTTGAAATAATATTAATATTACAAACTTTTTATATAATTTAGATATTATAAATATTTTTAAAAATATGCAATATATATTTTTTGTTATTGAATAAGAGGATATTATGTGTAAGAAATGTAGAAAATAAGAGTTTAATATTTTTATTATGGAGTCGCAAGAAAAATCTTTTATTTCTATACATGTTATTCGTTTATTAATAATAAAAGAAAACAAATCCTTTAAATTAGATATTAACTAAAATAAATGCACCATAATTACTTATTAAGTAACAACCAATAAATTTCACCAAAAAATAGGTAACAACCAATAAATTCTAAACGCAGTAATTAAAGAATGAGATATTAAAAAAAAATATCAAATAAGATATAAGAATCTTAAAATAATTGAATATCTAAATAATTTAATTGTTAGTGTCGATTTTAATGCCTTCATTAATGTGGATTTTTTTTTTAGAGAGAAATATTTCCTAAAGATTATCACATTAATGACTCAGAAAATTAAGGAAGATATGAATTTATGATTCTCGAAATCGTGTTGGTAATATCTTTAATTAATATTTTTCAAATTTAAATAATTAATGCCAATGGCATTCATCCGTAAATACATTCCAACTCCAAGATTTATTTGCTAAAAGTCATCCAAAAATGTATATATAGATATTAAACTCTGATATTTTTCACCTGTTCTTTTACCTAACATCTTTATGTTACAATAAATGACTTATTTTTTTACAACTAATACATATTTTTAGGATTTAGATATCAAATTCGACCCTCCATATGTTTGGTTATGGAATGGCAAAAATTTCATCTACATGGTAGTCGTTAAGTTTGGTTATCTAATTATTTCATCATTAAACCAGTCCGATCTTGGAAAGAAATGCCTTTGATTGATGTAAAAAAGAAAGAGCCTTTGATTGAAACGCTTTAATGAATAATATAAAGTGTATATCCTAAAATAAAACAAAATAGGGAAATTGTTAAAAATGCCCCTTTTGGTGTGCCCCTTTTCAAAAATGCCCCTTTTCGGGTCTGATGTTTTGTAAAGGCTACTTTTTTTATGCAAACATGAAACATCACAAAGGACAACTAACAAATCGAAGATTAATTTACTGTTATTTGCGTGTGAAATTCTAATGATAGTTCATAGTTCTTAAATCTGATTCTTTTTACGCTAGATTCTAAATTTAAATTATTTGGAACATGCATGGTCGTATTTGTACACTAATCTTATGTTGTAGTGAGTGACAAAATGTAGTCACGTTATATTTTAGTGAAAAGTTAGTTTTTCTATGTCATGATACATTACAAGATATCTAAATTAAATTTTCTCTAAAATCTATATGGAGATAACGATACACTCCTATAGACTCATAGTACTTTCCGAGTGATAGCTATTAACATTTGGAACAGTATTAGATTTTTAAGGATATGTAGTTCCACGTTATCTATATGGTTTGCATACTAGTCAAGTGGACCATTTTTAAAAGCTCCACTAAAATTCAAATATTTGTAATCGCATTTCACGAATATATAAAAACATCTTTTGACAAAGCATTACCAGGAAGAGTTACTAATGGTAAATTAGAAAAGGTATTTGGTGGGTTTCTTTTGGTTAAAGAGATGGAGTTGGCAAGCACTAAGCACTTGAGATGGAAATGGTAAAGGAAAGCCTTAAAAGCGATGAAAGGTGAGAAAGTAGAAAAACCTTTTTCTATAAGAAAGCTACCTTACGTACGTATCATGGAGAATTTGAGATGCATATTTAATAAATAAACCCCGTACTTATTCAATGTTTCTAACTGCCTAGTCTTCAATAGCCAACAAGGATACACAACACAAGTTTTTGCGTGATAGGATATCACATTATTATTTTCTTACAAATTGTTGTTAGTGTTGGTTTTGTTAGGAAGTGTTCCATGTGACTAAACGTAAATCTAAGTGTTTTCAAGAGAGGTGATTTAGCTAATAGAAGATTCATTTTTGGGATTGTGTTCTTCGTTGTGACTTCCTAAGTTTCTGTTCCGTTGTTTTCGCTCCAAGACATAAGCGACAACTCTCTTGTCTTCTCAGTTTTTGTCTCGATTACCACATTTTCAACACAACTAACTTCTAAGAGTATTGACACTTCTTACCATGCGCAGAGTAATTTTTAGTATCCATTCATGAATCGTTATTATCAGTAAATACAATTTTTTATTGGACGATTACATATACTTATAAATTTTCCCAATTCTTTTATATTAAACCTGTATACAAATTAAACACATAAAATTGATTGAATGAGAAGATAGAAGAGAGAGATATAAGACAGTTAAAAATGAAAGCCTAATGATAAGTAATTTGGGTCATATATGTATGAGATAGGGAAACAATATGGTTACTTCATTGATCGTTGAACAGCAGAAAAAATAGTAAAACTCTTTCATAAGGCATATTGATGAATATTGTATTCTTCTACTGCAAAACTGAATTGCCCCATCTCTCTCTCACTCACTCAGTGGTTATAATCTGCAATTAAGAAGAAGCTCCATGGTTTAAGAGGCCAAGTCTCGTCTCGCATAACTAATGATTGATGACTGGAGAAGGAAGTGGTGATGTTGGAGGCTTCATGTCCTCGTACCTGCAAACATTAAAGTCTCTCAGCTCACATTAAATGAAGTAATAACAATGGACACACTTACAACCAACATGCTTCTCTCTCTCTGTATCTCTTACATTGTATAAGGTGATAAGGGCCTTGGCTTTGGCTGAGCTATATTGCCTTCTGAAGCAAGGGAAGTGTCTACCGCATTGCTAACAACAGTTACTGCTTCCGGTATAGAGGAAGATGGAGTAGTGTTCCTGACAAAACAACAAGCGAAAAACCTGAGATATTGTATTGATTTATTCCTTGACTACACACACTTTAAATTTGGCATCTAGATACTTACACACTTCCATCAACTGTTTTCAGCACATCATTATTGCCTCCACGCAACTCTGAGTTATCTTCTGCAGATGCTGTTATCTCAGATGCTGCTTCCTTGGGACCAGTTGATGCAGGAGTTGGTGAGGTTGGTGGTTTCAGGTCTGCGTAACTGCAAAAGACAGTATAGATTCATTGAAGAAAAAACAGACCACAAGCGATTTAGATATATAGAGAAATTTATAACAGAAGAGAAAAAGTTGTTACACTGCATAAGGAGAAAGAGGCCTCATTCTTGGTGTGGCTGGTGCTGCTGTCTCAGTGAAACTTGATGCAGCTGCTGTCTCAGGGACTCTTGTTTCAACTGCTGTCTCAGTGACACTTGTTTCAACTGCTGTCTCAGTGGCACTTGTTTCAACTGCTGTCTCAGTGACACTTGTTGCAACTGTTGAGCTTTTATCAGTATCAGAATCTGTTGGACCAGGCGACAAAGAATCATTCTTTTTGGTACCCGAAGCTGTAGGAGAGGGCAATGAGGGTGGTTTTAGATCTTCGTAGCTGCATCACAAAACGGCCAAGTAGAAAAAGCATCAAACTTTCGAACTTATTATCTGCTCACACATTTATTTCTCCAACGGTAATGATAGCAATAGAAACTGTATGCAGCCGCTCATAATCAATTTCAATCTAGTGACTCCTGTATACAATAAAGCCGCAAAGATAATAAGGTTTTACCGGGCATAAGGGGAAAGAGGCCTCTCTTTCTTTTCCTCAGCTTGCATTACTTCTACTTCTTCTACAGCTTGTTTTACTTCTTCTTCTTCTACTACTGGGACATTTGAGGTACTATCTGGCACTGGCACTACATTGGCCTCAACAAGAACCTGAGTGGCATCTACTTCCTTAGATTTGGCAGGACCAACTGATGTGGTCGAACTTGGAATAGGAGATGTTGGAGGTTTCAAGTCTTCGTAGCTATATTACATTCACAAAAAAAAGGAAACAAGACGAACCGAAAACAATCAATGTCATGCCAACAGGTCATTTTAGCTACATATTTGATTTTTTGCCGTTGAGGAACAAGTTGTCTTACGCGGCATAAGGAGACAGCGGCCTAGGTTTCACATCTTTTTCTTTTGGAGGTGCTTCATCCTCCTTGGGAGCTGTTGGCTCTTGAGTGACAGGCTTAGTAGGGACTGGTTTGACCTCTTTAGCTGCAACTGATGCCTGTCCACGACCGAAATGCAGAGAAATAAAGATAAACCATCTTATTAAAAGAGAGCGAAAATCAAAATCGAAAAAGAAAGGAGATAAAAGCAATATAACTAACCTTCGGTGGAGGCACATAAGGACGTTTGGAAGGAATCTTTTCAAGAAGCTTCTCAATTGAAGTTAATGGTGCAGTTGTTTCAGCAACCACTTCCACAATCTTGGAGAAAGAAAGTTGAGGATTCTTTGCCATGCAAGCAAGTAACTCTGCAACCTGGAGATCAATAACAAGGAAGAAGAAAACCAAAAAAAATTAAAGCTCTTCTTCATAATGTGTCATATCACTGTGTCAGAAACGAGGGAAAAATATTAATACCTGGAGATTTGAGACCTGACCACCAAACAATGTATCGTCTAGAGAAAGAGTGAGATTATGAGTTTCTTTGTATGCATCAGTCGGTCTCTCCATTCCCCCAGGTCTAACTATCTAATGAATAAAGATGGAAAGACAAAATTCTAAGGTATGATACAATCGAAAGAGTCTGTGAAACTGTAAGTTTGGTTTAGTTTATTTTGTGAATTACTCACTGCGTAATTGAGACCGCTTGCAATCAACGCTTCTTCAGCTTTTCTCTTCCAGCAAAGAACTCCCCAGAATAGGCTTCACAAACGAGATGATTAGAAGAAGTCATATAACAAGAACATGCCATTAAGTTTTATGGGCATCTCTGACAAAAGTGTGTAATGAAAGAAAAACATTAGACTTACTTGAGAATCGCAGCAGGAAGTCCAAATTTATTTGTCCCCAAGGATGTCACCAAAATGAAGTTGTTAACTTTTGCAGAGGTTGCTGCTCATAATACCAAAGAGGCAACAATGAAACAAGAAAGAGGAAAAGAAAGAGAGAATGGACAACAAAACCGCTTTGAGAGCATTTTTGTCTTACCAGCATCAACAAGGTTTTTGGTGGCGAGGTAATCAATCCTGTATGGGCCAGTAATATCAGAGATCTCTTTCTCGCTAGCACCGATACAGCATATAATCACTGATGCATTTCCCAATGCGGGCTGTATTGAATCTTTCTTCTCCAAGTCACACTCCACAATTTCAAGCTTTTCTACAGCTGGGCTAAAGACACAGACACTGCCTGTTACTTTTCTACAACAAAATCATTGTAAGTAAATCAAAACATTTTGTTCTTACGTTGAGCTCCTTCATCAGTGTTCTGGAGCTTCATTTCCTTAACACTCTGCAAAGCATCAATTGCGGATAAACATCACCCAAAATGATGAAACACTTGACTATAGCAAATATTCAGTATCAAAGTAAGTCATACTTGCACAAGACTTCCTGCTCTCTGAGCGCTTCGAACTCCAGCTCTAACCCGAAACCCAAGCTTCAGTAGCTCTCTGAATGAAAGAGAACATTGATAGGACACTTTAGCCAACCAGCATTGTGAATTATTCTTCAAACTTAAAGAAGCAAGAAACTAACCTCACAGTTCTAGAACCAACTTTACCAGTAGCACCGGCTACAAAGACAAGGTCGTCTTCTTTGGAATTTAAGTTAGCAGGGTTTGCTTCTGTTACTGCAGAGCTTGCTCTTATAGGACCTTTTGTTCAATAACAAGTAGGGAAATGAGTAAAAATGTATGATTTCCAGATTATCAATACCAGAATTGTTGAAGGTGGTACTTAATATGAGACTACTGGTGTCTGATCAAAACTCAAAAGGTAGAAAAAATGAGAACTTTGAAACTAGAACTGAAGACTTGGGAAACGGACAACATTGCAGAAAACCATCAGCAAAAACAAGACACAATCGAGCAAGTCTCATTTCACTAAAAGCAAAGAAAGCCAAACCAAAATATGCGGAAGTAGTGTAATCAAAAAGCTTGAAACTTTTTTGTAGTACCTGAAGCCCTGATGCTAAGATCGAAAGACCTGGACTTTCCAGAAACCGAGTGATTCTTTAAACCAGAAAACCTGACAATACGATTGGTCTTCCATCTTTGGAGAAGAAACCCTTTTCTGCTGGGAAGAGATGGTATTGTTGTTAGAGGTTGCCCACGGAGAAAACAAGTTCCTTCCATTGTTCTTTAGTCTTCTTCTTCTTCTTCTTCTTCACTAGCTATTTAGCTAATGCACATTAACTTTGAAAATTTTCTATCACGAAAACACTAGTACACGACCAGAAAAGGAAGAAACAGAAAATATACAAATTTTATTATCTTTCTGGATACAAGTGAAGACTCAGCTAGAGTTCTCCTGCGTCTGCCACTGCATCTTGATATGATGGGACCCACATAACATTACAAGAGACCAATCAATGTTTGATTGGATTTGGAGTAGTAGTGGCTACAATGCTGACATGGCAAGGATGGTTCGATTTGGTTTGGTCTAAAACTTGGATCCAAACCAGAATCATTTCACAAGACACATTAGAATTTGAATAATTCTGGCCTTGGATTTTCTCTTATATGCATTGTTACATATTGGCATTTATTTTCTCCAAATGCTTATATCCAATTAGATGAGTAAGTTTGGTTTTCTTAACATCACTTATGAACAGATTTGACCAACACAATCTCTATAAACTTTCAATAGATCATCTGTTACCAATCAGGATTATTCATCAATCATACAAGTAATCAGGATTTGAAAATCTGATCAACATCACCTAGTAAAAGCACTACACTACAGCTTGATGGATTATGTTCTCAATTGCCACATTCTCTGTTTATGATGATGCTACCGTCTGCGAAACACATGTTTCCGACCCTGGTGAGTTTGCGCCTATCAAGAGGAACAGTCAGAGGTTTAAAGCCTCACCAACCAAAAAGGTAAAGATGCCTAACAAGTAACAAGCTATAAATCGTACTGGGTAAGACAAAGACAATGTAGGCAGCACAAAATGGGTTCCAAGAACTTAAGAATGGAACATCAAGATGCCTAACAAGCGCTATATCGCCACACAAAAACTAGCTAAAGGTACCCAAGGACACTACTCTGGACTAGCAAGTGAAACAAAATCTGATACAAAAAAATCACATAGCAAAAACTAAATCACCTTAGGAAGACGAAACAGGAGACTGCTCAGCAATGGAGGAGGAGGAATTGAGAGCAGCAGCAGCAGCCAGTGGAGAGTAAATGCGTGCTTTCTTTATGATCTCTGAAACAATCCAATGCTTATGCTTGCTCAAAGGCCTTGACGGATCCAATTTCACCTAATATTTCATATATAACCAAATCAAGTTTCATTTTCAGAGCAGCCTAAAAACAAACAGGCAAGTCTACTTCCAATGGTTGAGTTCAAACATTCCCTAAATGCTCACTAAAATTTGGAGCTCTTGATCAAATGTATCTCAAATTCACTAGAAAATATGAGAGCTCAAGTCAAAGAATGAAGAGAAATTTACTCGATCGCCGATGTTACAGGAGTCCTTTTCATCGTGAGCCATGAACTTGGAAGTACGTTTGACATAGCGATTGTAGAGCTTGTTATGGAAAAGTCTGTCGACGGCGACCACCACCGACTTCTGCATTTTGTTCGACACCACTGTGCCTATCACTGCCTTCATTTTCCCGAACGAGCTATGGATTTGAGAATCTCAAGATCGAAGACAAGAGAAACAGTGAAAGAGATTCTTCTCGTCTAGGGTTTTTATAATGATGGGCTTTGATCTGTAGCCCAATATACTATTAAGGTCCATGAATCGGCCTCATACTTAACCGGTTCAGACACTAATTTCTGGTTTATTTCAACAGATATAAATAAAATCGAACCGGGATGAGAAGTAAGAAGTGAAGAAGAAATCGATATGGCTGTTATTGCTTCACTTCATCTTCAACCTCTCTCGTCTTTCTCGTCGTCGTCTTCACCTCCTCCTCCTTCAAGCTCTAAACCTCTCTATCTCAAATTCCAAACCTCGCACCGTGAAAATCTAAGACACCTTTCTTCGCTCGGAATTGTTCCTCAGAACCCCCGGCTTGCTCCTCCGGCGAATGATCTTCCCGTTATCTTCTCCGCCGTGAACTTCCTCAAATCGAAAGGAATCTCCGACGAAGATTTCCCACGACTCGTCTTCCTCTGTCCACAGCTCTTCTCTCCCACTTTCGACATTTCCAAAATCGATCCCGTCTTCGATTTTCTCACCGGCGAGCTCGGAGCTTCCACAGAAGAATCCAAGGGCTTAATCGTAAATTGCCCGAACATTCTCCTCTCCGACGTAGAGTATTTCTTGAGACCAACGCTTGTTTACCTTAAGGAGCTAGGGTTACGGAATCTGAACCGAGCTAGCAAGATGAACGCGCACGTGCTGAATACGAGAGTTGAGAAGCTAAGAGCTAAGATGAGATTTTTGAAGAGTATAGGATTCGAACACGAAGAAGCAGCTAGAGTCTGTGGGAGAATCCCCGCGATATTTGGATACAGTGTTGACGATAACTTGAGGCCCAAGTTCGAGTTTCTGGTTTACGACATGGAAAGAGAACTTGAAGAGCTCAAAAAGTTTCCTCAGTATTTTGGGTTTAGCTTGGGGAAGAGGATAAAGCCAAGACATTGGCATTTGAAGAAGAAGAACGTTAGGGTTTCGCTTAGTAGAATGTTAATGTGGGGTGATCAAAAATTCTACTCCAAATGGAAGCCATAAGAGCAGAGTTACTCTTCCCCTGCTTTCACTTTTAACATATGTTTATATTCAGATATCTGAAAGAAAGAAAATTTGAATTGCATTTCAAGGAAAAGTGATTCTGAATCATACGAAAAATGTTGAGGGAATCATCGAAAATCCAAATCTAGGGTTTGATCTCAGACTCTCTTTTAAGGTTACTGACGAATTACAAGATCGATATCGGCCCCAACTTCTGCAATCTTGCCTTCCTTTGAGGCCTTTGCTGATTTCGCAATGCTCTCTACATCAAAATCTATCGCTATCTTCTTCACGAGACCTTCAAGCATCTGTTGTTACAGAAACACATCGATTAAATTATGTAATTAACAAGCGGATAAGTTACTCTAGTTGTTCGCGGAAACTAACCAGTGACCCAATTGCTACCAAACTCCGGAACTTGGAATCAACATCTGCAGCCTCCTCTTCTGCAACCTGTAGTAAGTTAAAAAAAAATTAGCACATAAATGATACCAAACTATTTAGTACATTGGTACATTGGTCCTCTCCCATTTTACTTTGATCTCAGAGATTTGTGTACAGAGACGAATAAAAACAGATGAGATTCAACTCGGTGACGAGATAAGAATTGGATTTATGCAAGTGGTTAAAATCACCAAATTTAGGCGCACCTGCAAAGCTGCTGAAAGGACTTGAGCTTGACCTTCTTGATCCTTCTTTTCTGTTAATAGCACTGCATAACTGAGGAAGAACAAAAGCACAGATCACGGTTTGATCTTCTCCACAGAGAGTATAATAGAAAAAAGCTACAATTTTGCAATAATGCAACAACAGATATTAAGAGAGGTCTTACTTGAGAAGCAACGTCGAATAAGCCAACTGCAGATTCTTATTTGGGGATGAATAACAGTTTGAGAAGGCATCAAGAATCTGCAATTAAAACCACTTCATCAAATTATCATATAATAAAACACACTTGTATAGGCACTATATCTATATTTAAATTTAATTAGAAACTTCATTTCTAATCCCTGACGCAACAAAGCAATGGATACTAGACATAGAAACCAAAAGTCCATCCTCAGGCTGTAAGAAACAGCTAAACCAATAGTAGGTTCATCAAGATCATCACACATCCTAGTTATTGTATAAAATCACAGTATAGTACGTACTTGACTATGATGCGTCTGTAGCCAGTAATGAAATGAAGAATTCTTGAATAGATTAACCAGGACACGAACAGTCGTTAAAAGATTTGCAGGAAGAGCAGAATCTTCTGTAACTTTCTTTATCAAATCCAAAAGCAGGTCTGATTGAAATATAGTAACAGAGAGATACCAGTTAAAGGACATTAGCTGTTACTTTCATTAATGTTGAGAAAGCATAGCTTCACGCAATAGATGATTACCATTGTTGTTTTCCACATGTTTGATAAGTAGACTTGCTCCATGAGGATGCAAAACGAGCATCCTGACTATATCAGTAGCTGCATATTCAAAAACCATAGGTATAAGAGTTTAACCCAAAAGAAAACATAAGGCTACTTATATCCAACAATAGACAAAAATAATGTGGCCAGCGAAAGGCAAAATGCTTTATGGCCTGCAAGAAACATCAAAAGAAACACATGGAAACCAAGAATATCATCCAAATAAACCAAAACATCTGATTTTGCTATGGCTTCATAATATTGAGAAACATATGGCTACCATCAAAAGCTCAATATGTAATAAACAGTTCTGTTTGACTAGTTGATTGATAAGAGAAGACCAACCAGGAAACATCATTGCAGGTGGCCATGCTTGTAGCACTTTCAAAAGCAAAGCAATATCCATGTCAGCAAAATTGGTAGAGTGGTAGTGTGATGTGTCCTTGAGTATATTAACGATTGCGCCTACTCTGGATACTTCGAGTTCGGTCAGGGACTTGTCATTGTTTACCTTCAAAAGATGGAAAAATTGTAGAAACATAAATACCAACAATACTATAAGTAATATAATCATTTAATCATTCCGTGTGACAAAAGTTGATACTGAAACTTACTGAGTCAGATCGTAAAGTAGTATTGAACTCTGTCATCTTTTTAAGAATCCCATCATATTGAGCAACATCGAAAACTAGCACACCTTTCTGTAGAGAGTAATGGAAGAAAAAAGGATCAAAAGCTAGAAACATTAAACAGTGATAACTAATAAAGAAAGAATTCCAGCGTACTTTTGGAATGTGCTTGTATAAAGGTTTTGCCGGAGTTGCTATAACAGAAAGAGTCAGAGCATGAGGCAACAAAAGAACAATACGCGAAACTGAAAGTATTATGTGAAAATAACACAGACAGTGTATTCATACCAGCTGTATGAGATGCTTGCCCAGGCACATAAGCATTTGCTGTTACACAAAAAAAGGCAAAACAATATTAAAATCAAATCCTAAAAAAAAATTTTGGACCAATTATTTTCGAAAACATGTGATTTTATACCGCCAGTGAAGGGATCACGAAAAGATGGATTAAAGTTGAAGTCTTTCTGCCCAGAATTTTGTAATATAAATTCAACAATTTGCTGCCGATATGCAAAAGGGAGATTCTCTTTGAGAAGCCACTTGTCAGCTGCATCATAAGGATTGTCTGCCAAACAAGAAAAGATTTGAAGAATCATAAACTGAAGCAGTTTCTTGTGGTTGCAATTGTAATAAAAACAAGGCCAGTAAGAGCGTTCAGGTACCTGACCGATTGTAAGGCAGCTTCCGGATAGGTTCCCCATCACCAATGTCGACATCGAAAACTAGAGAAAAGAAAAGGCTAAGAATTTTGTTCACTTCGATTTTGAGAGATTCTCAAGTTTCCATAATAGGTCAAAATCTAACCAAAATCATATTGAACTCCCTCGTAAATTGGACGATCAGCCACACCATCTGGGCCATCAACAACCTCACCAATCTGAAAAAAGGCATGCAGTGAGAACTCAAATCATTCTAACACAATACAATGCTAATGTTTAATCCTTCATATGCAACCAAATGTTAGAGAGAAATCTATCTCATATCCTTGCTATCTACTTAAGAGATTGCTACTTCAAAGGACGACCAGAATTCAAAATCAGATGCAATTTTCCTCCCAGGTTTGGGTTGCCACATTAGATCAACCACTAAGGCATTTAAAATCCTCGCTAAAGGCACTGATACATGTGACAATTTGCTGGCAGTACATGCTATCAATGTATGACCAGACAGCCAATGGTAACTTTTCTATGAACAAATTAACAAATATTCCTCAAGGCAATTGTTTCAAAGGGAAGTTATCTGTATATTCATGCATAAGATCTAATAAATAGTAAAGCATGCATTCAGGTCAAGAGCAAAAGAGAAATGCAGTCAACAAACAAAAAAAGATAAAAGTTCATTCTGTTTACTTACTTTGTCCCATCTCTGTTCTTTCATATTCCATGCATAAGCAACCCCATTGTCTCCTTCCCTTACTACTTTCGTCTGGCCATCACTGGTACCTGAGAATATACATCAAATAAGAGAAGATGATGTTACAAGAATGCTCAGCTTAATCTATTCAACTTTGATTGCCAGACATTATCAATTACAGCTGGGATTATCTATGTGCTCTCTTGAGATTTCTTTAAGACTTAGTGTTTCTACCCGTATGAAAGGTTAATAATACAATCAATTGGATAATACGTGGTACCTGGTGACGTGAGAGAATCAAGCCCCGGCAGCTCGTCAAGTTTCAATCCTCCAACCTTTTTCCTGAGATAAAGAATAACACGCATATACTTTGCAGTTATATTTTGAGCATAAAAGACAAGAAATCATACCCCGTCAGCAGGTCATCTAATCAAAGTCATGGCATTGCCACATGAAAAAAATACTCAACGGACACAGAATTTAATCGATAAGAGTTGAGATCACCATAAATGATCAGATTACCTGCTCAACTTGTACTGAGAAATTTGCGAATCATATGCATCAATCTCCATCTGATCTGCAATCGCGTCATGACGTACT